ATTTCCTACAGCTTCTCGATAAACACTTCCCACCTACACGTCCTTTGCACAAAATATTCAACCGTAACACAGTCAAAGTGAGCTATAGCTGCATGCCTAATGTAAAGAGCGTTATATCTCGCCACAACAATTGCATCCTGTCAAAACCCACAACCACCCCACCAACATCAGATAATTGCAACTGTAATAACCCGAGTGAATGCCCTATTAAGAAGAACTGTAAATCTAAAAACATAATCTACAAGGCCCAAGTTACATCACCCGACGACGGTGTCATGAAAGAGTATATAGGAATGACGGCGACTACTTTCAAAGAACGATATGGAAATCATAAGAAATCCTTCAAACCCCAAAGATATAAAAACGATACAGAGCTGTCAAAGTACATCTGGGGGCTAAAGAGTAATAATAAAGATTACACCCTAAAATGGTCAATTCTGAAGCGGGCAGGCGCATACTCATCTGGTGCAAAGCGTTGCAATCTCTGCATAGAAGAAAAACTCTGCATAATGGATGCAAACAAGCATTTAACACTGAACAAAAGACCCGAGATATTCGCAAAATGCCGACATCGCGAGAAATTTTGGGCGGGAAATTTTGAACGCGCGTGCGAATAATGACGGTGCATGCACGTCAGCAAACTATAGATCACGCCATTATAACGAACTGAATTTAATCGCCTGAAGATTGCCACAAATAGTGGCATGAAACTTAAAGTAGCGAGAAATTGAAACATTTTAAGATAACAAATTAATTCGCTCTGCTAAATAATTTGTAGTATTGAGCACTCTTTTATCTATAACGAAAAACAAAACTGTTTATATATAAATATATATATATATATATATATATATATATATATATATATATATATATATATATATATATATATATATATATATATATATATATATATATATATATATATATATATATATATATATATATACAGTCATTGCCAAAAAGGTTGTCCAGATGAAATATATCTAAATACCTAAATATCGATCACGTGACATGTATTTATTCGTGGGTATTCGTGGGCCGTGCGTGGTAATTGCGTGTTCGATTAGCGTGGTGAAATTTTCCACAATGCCAAGGCCTTATTCGAATGATTTACGCTGGAGGATGATATATCAACGATATATTTATAATAGAAGCTATGAGGACATAGCTTCACAATTATTTGTTTGAAAACCGTCTATCGGACAGTTAGAACTTTTGTAAACACGGGTGATGTGAAACCATGCCGTCTTGGTCGCCCGACGGGAAGCATAACACTATTTCCCCATGAAGAATACATTATAATGGATTGTATACTTCGCAACCCGCAAATGCAGCTCCATGAAGTGGCTGATAATATCGCCAATGTCACTGGATCAGCGTTTGGGCCGGAGACGCTATGCCGTGCTCTATATAGGCTTGGAATAACGCGTAAGAAGGTAAGCTGTGACATTTTCAATAAGTTAGTATGGCTTTGCCATAACACACATGTTGTGTCACCGTGCCGGCCTATATCAACAATGTCTAATACGTCTTATAGGCCCTAATAAAAAAATGTGATAATTTTGAAAACTGATTTCCTTTTCGCCAGATACAGAGAGTTGCTCTTCAGCAAAACGAGAACCTCAGGCAACAATTCAAGGCAGAAATCAGCGTATTTAGCCCAAACCAACTAGTTTTCGTCGATGAAACTGGCATTGTATGTAGGCTAACAAAAATTAATTATAGCTGTCGTTTTACTGTTAAGAACTGATCACATTCCTATGTTTATTTAGTTGTAATTTTTTTAAGGATAAACGGATAACTCGACAATATGGTTATAGCGCTCGTGGAACACGTCCCGTCGTCCGTGATTACAGCTATGCTTGGTGGGCACCTCATTATTCGGCTATATCAGCAATTTCGAGTGACGGGCTTATAGCTAACCAACTGATGAAAAATCCAGATGAAAGATTTAACGCGAATTCGTTTATACAATTTCTTAATGAGCAGCTTTTACCGGCAATGAATCCGTTCAACGGGGAAAACCCGCGATCTGTTATCGTAATGGGTGAGAGTAATTAATGCAAAATTAACTAACTTACTGTGTATATAAGTAAAACCAATACTTGTTATTGTTATAAGCACAAGTATTTAATCTCCTGGGAATTTTCAACCCATTGTATGTCAAGTCTTTCGTAATTAGTCATACAGTATCTCATTAGTTCGATTATAATTCTGTTTTACACACGAACCCGTGGGTTTTGCATATTACTTAGGCATTGCAATTCTAACAATAGCTTGATTTAAAAAGTTCTTGTTTTTTATGACGTTTCATATATTATTAGTAATATGAAAATTACTGCAAAATACAAATTTTAAAGAAACTAATAGCATGCATGCATGTGCTTTCTTTCAACAGACAATCACGCTGTTCATCATGTCCAAGAAGTCATAGAACGTGTTTATGACTATGGAGCAATCATTCGTTTTCTGCCACCATACTCTCCAGATTTGAATCCGATAGAAGAAGTATTTGCAAATGTGAAACACTATTTGCGTCAGAATCACTTGGTACTACAGTCATTGCAAGATCCTAGCCCCCTAATCTGGAATGCATACGGACAAATTACGTCGAATGACTGCTTGGGATACATGCATCATGCTGGCTACATTTGACTATTTGAAATAGTTTTAAAAACCTAATTTATTTGGTTTTATAAGGTTTTTTAAAGTGCAAAACTACTTTTTTATACAGGAAACGAATTTTTCAGTGCTGCGCATCTTATCGTTTGATACAGAAACGAAAACGTTCGTAGTATATACCTATTTTCTAGCATGCACTCTCTTATAAGAGTTATTCTACAGTGTGTCCCCAAAAAGTACCCTCAAAAGAAATTATCCTATTGTTATAAGGGTAATTTTTTGGGACACACTGTAGAACACGTTATATAGGGTCTACTTAATTCGATCATTAGAGGTTTCTAATGAATACCATTGAGTGCAAAGTGGTAAAGCAATCCTTTGTATCATGCAACGTTCTATACGTTGCAAGTCCCAGCAAATATTACTTTCATAAGAGTCTCCACGAGAATTTAAATTTATGTTTTTAATTTGTCACAACGGTTATATTAACATGATATAGCTGCATATATATAATTATAAATCTTCTAACAGTACTAGCTTTTTTGCTTCGTACTCCTGCTCCGTAATTGCACCCATTTGCTTTAGGTCAAACAGGTCTTTTATTTGCGTTATCACTTCAGACCTCAGACTGGCTTTGTCTTTTGCTGTCTCGTTCTTATTTTGTTCCTATAAATTAAAGCAGAATCAGAAACAATTTATTTGCATTTATTTCTAGCTCAATATTTGTAATCGTAAGATTCTGGGATTCATTGTAAAAACGCTTTAATACCTTTTGAACTGTAGCTGGAGGTTCTTGAGATGACTCCGGCTTCAAGAAGGCATTGGCAATGCTATGTCCCACCGTGGCCAGCGTCTCTGCCAACGTTTCTCGTCGCGGCCGCTTTGCAGGATTGGCAGCAAACATTGGGACATCTGGTACAGTCTCTCTTGTTGCAGTCGTTTTCGTGCAATATTAATATCATTATACGTTGGCCTGTTTTAGAACCTAATGTTGATGAGCGAAAGCCTTTGTTTAAGCCCTGGGCAAACTAGACAACATTGTTCCGGAAACATTGTTACCTACCAATATTTCGCCATGTTTTCCAGAGTAGGCAAGCATGCACTAGGAAACACTGGTGAGAAACAAAGAGAAACATTAAACGTTTCTGGTAGGAAACATTCCGCTTCCCGGGAAGCAAATTTTGTTTCCGCAACAGTGTTTGCACGCGGATGTGCAAACGTGGAAACATTTGAAGAAACATCGACAATCACAAATGTTTCAGCAACAGTGTTTCCTAGTTTGCCCATGGCTTTAGGTACATTTGCATTAGATTCGGAACATGAAAAGTTCGACGTTAAAGGCCATGTTAAACGTGCAAATTTCCTTGCAACTTGCAATGCAATTCTACTCTTGAGAGATGTTAATTAGTGAAATCAGTGAATAATTTTCGATATGTTGAGAAAACATCAACGGAGTGTAATGAAGGCTCGTATTTGGTTATTTTATATATGTCAAGAGTAGAATTGCCTTGCAATTTGCAAGAAAAATTGCACCGTGTAACGTGGCCTTAACCAGAGACGCAATGTAATTACTAGCTTGTGTCCCATGGGATTTTCTGAGAGTATAATAGCGAAAACTGTCGTGATTACCATTCATGACGTATGAAAAAAGTATGCAAATTTTGTTAGCTTTGCTTTGAAAAATACTGGCTTACTGCATGAGATTCACCAACTAAATGGCTGCTTTCGATATTTTTGAAGAAGAGGACATGCTTCCAGTTCTGGAGGTTCGTGTGCTAGATGGAACCAAAAAAACCAGTTTCCGAGTCAGACGATTGACTAACTTTCCACCAGCTGAAACCGTAGAAGAGATGAAATCTGCGTTGAAAATATTCATGCCAGATCTCAAAAACGTGGACAACTGCGAAATAGGATACGTTTTGGACAGGAATAAAAAATACACCATCGAGACCGATGTTGACTTGCAGGACGCGTTCCAACATCTAAGGAACGGTTACCAAATGTGGCTAGATCCATCGCCATCAAAATCAACCGCAAAGAAACAGCATGGAAGTAAAGTTAGCGGTAAATAATATCCCAAGTCATTGATATTTCTAAAATATTAATTGATGTTCTATTGCTCTATTGCCTTCTCAGCAGATTACTAATTCATTGCATGAAGTTTTTAAATAAGAACTAAATGCACCTTTGATTCTGCCAACTCTGTAGAAAGTGAGAAAGTTCAAGACAAAGTTCGCCGGAAAGAAGACCAAGTGCTTGCTGAAATGGAGGAACTAAAACGAGTTCATGGGAATACTCTGCCACCCTACAAATACCGTTTATGGGCGGAAATGATTGTATGTTATCAGATAGGCTTCTAGCGTTCATGTAATAATATTATTTACAAACGATGGTAGGATTAATAAATGTATTGGCGTGATTAAATTCAGCCTTCTAATTATTATTACACTTCAGATTGTTGGGACTGCAACAAGAGAGACTGTACCAGATGTCCCAATGTTTGCTGCCAATCCTGCAAAGCGGCCGCGACGAGAAACGTTGGCAGAGACGCTGGCCACGGTGGGACATAGCATTGCCAATGCCTTCTTGAAGCCGGAGTCATCTCAAGAACCTCCAGCTACAGTTCAAAAGGTATTAAAGCGTTTTTACAATGAATCCCAGAATCTTACGATTACAAATATTCAGCTAGAAATAAATGCAAATAAATTGTTTCTGATTCTGCTTTAATTTATAGGAACAAAATAAGAACGAGACAGCAAAAGACAAAGCCAGTCTGAGGTCTGAAGTGATAACGCAAATAAAAGACCTGTTTGACCTAAAGCAAATGGGTGCAATTACGGAGCAGGAGTACGAAGCAAAAAAGCTAGTACTGTTAGAAGATTTATAATTATATATATACAGCTATATCATGTTAATATAACCGTTGTGACAAATTAAAAACATAAATTTAAATTCTCGTGGAGACTCTTATGAAAGTAATATTTGCTGGGACTTGCAACGTATAGAACGTTGCATGATACAAAGGATTGCTTTACCACTTTGCACTCAATGGTATTCATTAGAAACCTCTAATGATCGAATTAAGTAGACCCTATATAACGTGTTCTACAGTGTGTCCCAAAAAATTACCCTTATAACAATAGGATAATTTCTTTTGAGGGTACTTTTTGGGGACACACTGTAGAATAACTCTTATAAGAGAGTGCATGCTAGAAAATAGGTATATACTACGAACGTTTTCGTTTCTGTATCAAACGATAAGATGCGCAGCACTGAAAAATTCGTTTCCTGTATAAAAAAGTAGTTTTGCACTTTAAAAAACCTTATAAAACCAAATAAATTAAGTTTTTAAAACTATTTCAAATAGTCAAATGTAGCCAGCATGATGCATGTATCCCAAGCAGTCATTCGACGTAATTTGTCCGTATGCATTCCAGATTAGGGGGCTAGGATCTTGCAATGACTGTAGTACCAAGTGATTCTGACGCAAATAGTGTTTCACATTTGCAAATACTTCTTCTATCGGATTCAAATCTGGAGAGTATGGTGGCAGAAAACGAATGATTGCTCCATAGTCATAAACACGTTCTATGACTTCTTGGACATGATGAACAGCGTGATTGTCTGTTGAAAGAAAGCACATGCATGCATGCTATTAGTTTCTTTAAAATTTGTATTTTGCAGTAATTTTCATATTACTAATAATATATGAAACGCCATAAAAAACAAGAACTTTTTAAATCAAGCTATTGTTAGAATTGCAATGCCTAAGTAATATGCAAAACCCACGGGTTCGTGTGTAAAACAGGATTATAATCGAACTAATGAGATACTGTATGACTAATTACGAAAGACTTGACATACAATGGGTTGAACATTCCCAGGAGATTAAATACTTGTGCTTATAACAATAACAAGTATTGGTTTTACTTATATACACAGTAAGTTAGTTAATTTCCCATTAATTACTCTCACCCATTACGATAACAGATCGCGGGTTTTCCCCGTTGAACGGATTCATTGCCGGTAAAAGCTGCTCATTAAGAAATTGTATAAACGAATTCGCGTTAAATCTTTCATCTGGATTTTTCATCAGTTGGTTAGCTATAAGCCCGTCACTCGAAATTGCTGATATAGCCGAATAATGAGGTGCCCACCGAGCATAGCTGTAATCACGGACGACGGGACGTGTTCCACGAGCGCTATAACCATATTGTCGAGTTATCCGTTTATCCTTAAAAAAATTACAACTAAATAAATATAGGAATGTGATCAGTTCTTAACAGTAAAACGACAGGTATAATTAATTTTTGTTAGCCTACATACAATGCCAGTTTCATCGACGAAAACTAGTTGGTTTGGGCTAAATACGCTGATTTCTGCCTTGAATTGTTGCCTGAGGTTCTCGTTTTGCTGAAGAGCAACTCTCTGTATCTGGAGAAAAGGAAATCAGTTTTCAAAATTATCACATTTTTTTATTAGGGCCTATAAGACGTATTAGACATTGTTGATATAGGCCGGCACGGTGACACAACATGTGTGTTATGGCAAAGCCATACTAACTTATTGAAAATGTCACAGCTTACCTTCTTACGCGTTATTCCAAGCCTATATAGAGCACGGCATAGCGTCTCCGGCCCAAACGCTGATCCAGTGACATTGGCGATATTATCAGCCACTTCATGGAGCTGCATTTGCGGGTTGCGAAGTATACAATCCATTATAATGTATTCTTCATGGGGAAATAGTGTTATGTTTCCCGTCGGGCGACCAAGACGGCATGGTTTCACATCACCCGTGTTTACAAAAGTTCTAACTGTCCGATAGACAGTTTTCGAACAAACAAATAATTGTGAAGCTATGTCCTCATAGCTT